CATACTTCGACAACCAATTATTGTGCATACATGGATTTTAGCAATCACACACACCAAACTTCGTTTGCTTAGAGTGATAATAAGAAGATATATATACGAAAATTACATAAAGCATTACAGATGATAAGATGACAATACTGCATTGACTGATTTAAATGTGCTTTGTGTCCAACATCCAATGAATGTTTGTCAATTGGCAATTGTCAAAAAACTGTCAAAGGTTTCTGTACATGTAACATTTCTCTAATACGAATATAACACGTCAAGTTGCAATTATGAGAATAAAAAATCCTCGTTTTTCACAAATCAAAGACTAAAGGGCAATGAAAATTGAATTATTCTTGTTGTACATAATTTATGTACATAATGGTGTACATAACTCTCATATGGGATGGGACACACCCGTATCTGGTGTACATAAATTATGTACCCCTAGCGTTGGTCATGAAAATTTCCTGTATTAGCTTTCAATCTCGTCATATATTAACAAATAGGTCCCAATTCTATTTTTCTAAATCATTTTAGTCCCATGCTTGTTATTTACGTAGCACCATGGTTCGTAGTTAAAAAAAAACTATCCAATTGACTGTGAAATATACAAACAAGTCTCACGTGTTTGAAGGGACGGATCCAAGAATTTAGGACGTAAGGTTTGAAATTTAAGAAAGTAAATATAATAAATTCATATATAACAATTAAAAGTGATTTTCATTTAATTTGAAATTGTTCCCAACAACATTTCGAAACATAAAATTCTACAATAGAATTTACATTCATCTTTTCAACAAGTTCTCATTTGATGAAGGGTGTCATACAATCAATAAAAAAGTCATCCTCCAATTTGTTACAAATATCCATCTTTACATATTTCATTACTAAAAATGCTTGCTCAATAGTCACATTATAAATAAGAACAATCAAAACAAGATGAATCAACCTAATTGCCATAATATAAGTCTCCAGCTTTTTGCTCAAAGTCAATTGCCGGCATAACTTGACTAGTGGTTGTGCTAAAACAGAAATAAACCTTTGATCATGAATTTGGAACATAAAAAAGTTGACTAGCTAAAATGAATCTCCGCTCAAAGTTTAGTAACCTTCACTGATTTATAAAAAAACCACCCCCACCTCCCAACCCCATGTTCCATTTTCACATAAAACCAGTAAAATGAGCTGTCGGTGGCTATAAGCAAACCTAGGAAATTCCACTCTCCTTACGTCTACACAGAAAGGTCCAGCCACCTTTCCCGCTATAAATAATCCATTCCTCTTCACCCTTTCTCCAAAATCGTGTTCTTCCTCTTTCTTTTTCTCCACTCTCTCTCTCAATATAGCAAAACCAGTTTGTAATCATTTCCTAAAGGTACGGCCCTCCTTTGCTCTGTATTGATTATTTGCAAAATCTTTCACAGTTTCACGTCTTAGGCATGGACTGTTATTATGTTTTTGGTTTTTGCAATGGATAATGAAGGGTTGGGTAGGAGTTTGTCGATGGTGGTTCTACGATATAGACTACTGATTTTTAAAACTTAATCCTCCAACTTATTTTTCTTAACAGTACCGTCCTCAACTTTTTAGATTTGCAGCATTGTTGATCCTCGATAGATCGAACCAAGTTGAAACAAGCTCCATAAGTGGGAGGCCACGTTACTTACAGAAATAGGTTGAGGACAAAATTTCCAAAAGAGACGTAAGCTTGGGTACCAAGTTTCGAGATGTTCTAAAGATTGATAACTAGTAGTACTTTTTTTTTTTTTTTTTATATTATGGATTAAAAGCAACAGTATAATTGTCTTTTCAATACAGATTTTTTTATATTCAAATAATGAAAGTCATTCAATAGATATCTATAGGTGTTACGGGCCTGTGTCAGACCCGCCACCTCGCCCGCTACGGGTCCACACCCGTGGCCCAAGCCACGTACCGGACGAGGTGATTAAACCAAAGAACGAACTGATTGTACATGCTAAGGTGGTTGTATTAGGAACGAACTGAATACGCGTCAGAGCCATTTTTCGAGATCAACAATAGGTAATACCATAGTTTTTGGATCCGACTCAAACACTACTGACCCGGATGAAGAGGTGAATTACAAGGTCAATTGTTCAACCGCTAACCCGTTGGTTGAACAAAGAAGTCAACTCCTCTCAAATATAATAATTTTTATTACAACAAATAGTAGTAGTAATTATCATTTACTAAATTAATCATTAATTGTTTTTCAATCTTTACTCCAAAACTCAATAAGATGGAAGGTTTTAAAGATGTAGAAATAGAAAAAAACCATATTAGAAAGAATAATTAGCAATGAGAAAAGCAATTAAAAAATTGTTTAGCCTAGCAAATTATACATAAGAAATTGAAACGACATCATCTAAAGTAAAGAATGAAATGAAGAACTAAAAAATTCAATTTATTGCGAGTACTTCAATTCGAGTTTTGAAATTCCAATTCTTGTTGTAAAATCTAGGGCTGTCCGTGGGTCAGCATACATTATGGCTGTCCGTGGGTCGGTTCGGATCGGTTCTGAAGATACCCGAACCGACCCAAAACTTTCGGGTATTTAATAAATGGACCCGTCGGGTCCAAATATAATTATGGAACCGTTCGGGTTCGGTTCCATTCCGTTCCGTTCGGTTTGGTTCAGTTCGGGTTCGGGTTCGGTTCGGGACTTTTGGACACCCCTAGTAAAATCTCTTGTTTGCCTCAATTCTATAATAAAAACTTGGTAGAATATGTTCTAGACGGCTTCTAGGTTAAAAGAATGATAAAAATATCATACCATACCAAGACGAAACAAAATAACGAAAGCAACTTTTTTCCTTCGAAGATGAACCATGTGTACTCATGGAAGGTCGATTAGGCCTCACTTAGGCCACATGTAGCTATGTCAACGAGTCGAGTTGAACCGAAAAAAAAAAGCTCGGGCTCGGCTCGAGCTTTTTTGGGCCCGAGCCGAGCAGAGCAAAGCCCGGCCAAAAAAAATTAAGCTCGGCCCGAGCCTTAGTAAGCCAAGCCGGATTTTTTGATTTTTTATTTTTAATTGCTGCCTTTGCAAACATCTAAAAATAGCTGCATGCAAAGGCAGTGCATGTTGCAGGCAGCTGAGGCAGCTAAAAATTCTTTGAAATTTTTTTTTTAAATTTTTTAAATTTTTTTTTTAATGTTAGGCTCGGCCCAAGCCTCGACTCGGTGTAACCGAGCCTGAACCCGAGCCCGAATCGGGCCCGACTGAAGCTTTTTTCAAGTCGAGACCGAGCCGCCTGAGTCGAAGAGCTTTTTTGCCATCTCTAGCTACATGAGGACCTTGTGTATGCAGGGACTGTAGGCTCATGCGTACGCATGATCTTCTCTTTAGGTGACTAACTTTGCAATTTGAACTCTGAACTTTCTCAAGTGTCCAATTCTACCCATGAACTTTCTTGAATGTTCGTTTTGCGGTCCGATCCAACTTTTTATTATTTGGACTTCAGTCCAAGAACTTTGGCTTTATTGCAATTCAGTTCTATTTTCATCATTTTTCTCCAATTTCACTTATAGCTATTCGTCCTAAAAAATTACTAATAACTAATTCCCCAACAAAGAGGTTGTCATGTGATGATGATCCACTTACTAAGAAGCCGCCATGTGATGATGATCCAACCAATTGACTTAATTTCCTTTATAATTCATGTATACAGCTATTGCTTTCTAGTTCTTTTCATATTTATGTCTTGGCTGGCATGATCTAATTAGGTTTGACATTACGCATGTGATCTTGATTAAACTTTTCGCAAATATTCTATTACGGCGATTATTTACCATGCAAGTAGTTGGATAAAATTATAAGTTAATAAAAAATTATAATGTGATATAAATATTTTGTAAATAAGTAGATACAAAGTATGTGGTTAAAATAAGAGTTTGATTTCTGAAAGTAGATTATAAGTTAATTTTTTTAGGTTTACCAAACATAGGCAGTATTTCACATTAATATCAGTTGATTTTTCTTCGCCAGATTTAACAAAATACCCGTTCGAAATGTTATCGACATAACGGTTGTACAACTAGAAAATGAAATTGTTAAGGAATCTTCGTAGTGTGCATGCGGACAAATTCTGACTAGTTACAACGAATTTCCATTTCAAAATAGTTTGCACGTGGACAATTTATGGTCAACTAAAAATATTAGATGAATTTTAGATAAGCATACGAGGATATATATATATAGTCAACTAAAAATATTATGTGACAAATTAATATAATACGACCACTGTGAAATACGATGCACAACTTGACCTCAGTTAAAAAAACAATAATATATATGCTTTAAGAAGTTGAGTCATCGATGTATTGTATTTCAACTATCATTTTCACGGTGTACAAAGAAAAATTCTTCATTAACTCATTTTCACTGTGTACAAATTAATATAATATGACCACCTGTCTGTTTTCGCTCCTTTGTGATTTTTCTATTGTACTTCGTTTCTTGCATTCTACTTCACCTACAACTCTATTATGAGGGTTTGGACATTCCCTGTATGTTCCCTTATATAGTTGGTTCTTCAATATTATTTAGTAAGAAATTAGAAACATTGTAAACACAAAATCTTTATATTATTTTTTCATATTATAATAAAATCTTCATTCTCTGCAAAATTACATTGTTTTTGTTATCAATTGCTTCATATAGTTGCTTAATCTCTTATTTTCTCCAATATTTGGTATTGGATTAATCCGATATCATCTCCGTTTTTTCACAACATGAAGAATGCTTATAAAAATGATATTTTACAAAGAATTTTGATGACTAACTTAATGGGTCATATCTTTTGAGGGGAATTCGTTTAAAGGGCCTACTCATGAGTTTTGCATTTTTGTGAAGCTAATTTCACTGATGAAAGACTTTTCAGCATTCATTTAGTCGTGCTTTAATTGACATATTTTGCTCGATCGTTTGCTTTACCAGCTGAATGGCACGTAGAAACAGAAGACAGAGGGCAAATGAGAGAAGAAGAAAAATGAGAACTTATGAATCGGAACCAGAGCTCGGAAGCGATGAACAATCAGAGTTGTCTCGTGAAGATTCGTACCCTCCCTTGGATACTAATATTTATGAAGCACAAGTCCTGAACATGCATAACCAGATTGAAATTGAAGTTGAAAGTCCAATTTCTAATGCCAATGCACAACATTTTAATGATCATCGAAGTAAGTTTTTGAATATTATTTTTCATTTCATGACTTGAGCAAACTAAATTCATGTGGACATTTTTATTTTCTTTGAAACATATGCATTACTTTCATTAGCTTTTCTTTAAAATGATAGTGGAACAATTTCACATCTTACATTCTAGTAAATGGAGACTTCAATTCTTGATTGAGTATAGTAACCATGGCTTTTCTCTCTCAGTTCCAAACATTATCTTCATAAAATATGGCATCCCTATGATTACTCTGTTCACGAGATACTGTTCATGGGCTCTTCTAATATGCCGAACCACTTGATCTCCCCTAATTGTCTTGTGTTTGCTGGTTTATCTCCCCTTTGGTTTATTCGTGTTACATAGTATTTCTTGCAAAGTTGCGGAGCTTTATGCATTTTTAACACGTTTAACGATGGTCTCCCCAAACATCATCAGGAAATGTAAAGAGTTTACACAAAGCTGTTCTAAGAGGTGATTGGAAGGCTGCTAAAACTGCTCTGAGTTTGGACAAAAATATAGCTCGTATTGAGATAACAGAAAGAGGAGATAGGGCTCTTCACATAGCTGCTGCCGCCAAGCAAACAGCGTTTGTCCAAAATCTAGTTGAACACTTGAATACAAGTGACCTGGAACTGCAGAATAGACATGGAAATACAGCTTTCTGTATTGCAGCTGCATCAGGGGTTGTAGAAATTGCCAAGGTCATGTACGAAAAAAATAAGAATTTGCCATCAATTCGAAGTAGCATAGGAAAGATCCCACTTGAAATGGCAATTGTGTTCGGAAACAGAGAAATGGTTGAATATCTTTACCCAATTACACCTCTTGAAGTTCTCAATGCCGAGGAAAATAAGGATATTCTTAAAGCACTTGTCCACATTGACATGTATGGTATGGAATCTTTTTGATCAAGTGACGAAGTAGGTTACCCATAAAAAAATTATGTTTCTGGTTTTTGTCTGACTACATCACAATTTAATACGCGTGCTTTTCTTTGTGAGCAGATATCGCTTTGGAAATATTAAACAGTTCAAGAATAGATATTTCAACAACAAACGTAGGAAGGGCTTTACAGGCTTTAGCTCGAAAACCTCTACGAGGTCATGGATTTCGAGGACATTGGATGTGGGAAAGACTTGTTAGAACCTTTGCTTATATTCCATGTAAGACCATAAACCTTTCTCACTATTTTCCACAAGTTAGACCACTCATTTATACTTGATAAGTATTGCACTTCAGCTCTTGCATTCAAAAGATCTCTTCTTATCAGATAAAATTGATCGTTAGATTATGGCCTTATTACGACGTTCATTCAAAATATGTTTTTCTTATTGTCTTCTGATGTTAAGGTTATTTCAAATTAGATTTTTTTTACTTCTCAAAGTAGTCTCTAATATTATGGTATTCATTAAATAAATTGGAATTAACAATGGGATGGAGGAAGTATCAGGAATGATCCAATGGAGATCTTACGTTAAAGTTGGTGATGGGAAGAACAAAAAAACTATATAAAATACTATTTGCCCAAAATATGCATCAACCGTTCCAACAATGAGTTTTAATCATGGNTTTTTGGGCTATCCGTTCTATGGAGTGGATGCTGAACTTCAATTAATGAATGTACTGTTGCAGGCTTTGATGAATATGTTTCTGAAATTTAGAATTTTTGTACATGTTTATACTCGACCACATTGTTTTATAGGCCCTGTTTGGGAGAAATTTTAATCAAAATTCTAGCAATTAACTATCAAATCAGCTATCATTTTTGACTTTCCCTCTCACAGGGGGGCCCACAGGTTGACTATAACGGCTATAATTTTGATTAAAATCACACAAAAATTGCTCCCAAACACGCTCTTAGTAAGTTTTGATAAAAATTGACGGAATGTATGGTTGAAAAATTGTAAATCTCATGAAATATGTGGTTAAAATTAATTGTTGACTTTGACTTCATTTTAATATATTTCTTTAGCTGAACCAAACAGGGAGGACTTAGTTTTTTATTTCTCTATATTGATAATTGATCAAAACTAGCATGAACTTAAGAAATGTCTAGCGAATGTCAATTTTTTCGAAATTTTTGGGTTTGTTTTGTCCACATGTTAATTTTTCTTAGATGTTTAGATTTCAGAAGGATATATAGTACGCTACAAATGATGAGACAAGCCCGTCAGTTGGTAAAGGAGCTGTGGGAACATATTATGACATTACCGGACTCCAACCTCATAAAACTAATTCAAAAGAGTCAGATATTTCATGATGCTGCAAAATTAGGGAATGTTGAGTTTCTGACTCTACTTACTGACTCATATCCTGATCTTTTTTGGGAAGTCAACAAAGAGTATCACTCCATATTTCATGTTGCTCTTATTAACCGACAAGAGAAAGTGTTCAATCTCATCTACCAGATAGGAGCTGTTAGGAATTTAATTACACTCTATAAAGATCAAGAAGGAAACAACATTTTGCACTTGGCTGGGAAATTAGCACCTCCGAGCAGACTCAAAATTGTATCTGGAGCAGCTCTTCAAATGCAAAGAGAGCTACAATGGTTTAAGGTGAGAAATTAACATGGCAGTGAAATTGAATAATTTCTTATTTATCTTGAATTATTTGTGGACCATGTTCTTTGACATCTCCAATCAAACATTCTAAGTAATACTTATTCACCGTGTGAGAGTTAGATTTTGAAGGAGTTTGCAATATGCAATAATTTGAGTAAGATTTTCAGGAGGTGGAGAAAATTGTACCATCTTCATTCCTCCATATGAAAAACAAAGACAAGTTAACACCAAGGGAGCTATTTTCAAAGGAGCACGAGGCTTTAAGGAAAGAAGGTGAGGAGTGGATGAAAAGGACAGTATCTTTTTGCTTGGTCGTGGCAACTTTAATTGCCACAGTCGCGTTTGATGCAGGCCTAGCTATATTTGTTGGGAATAACCAAGAATCAGGCACTTCTATTTTATTGAAAGATAGGCAGTTCAAAATTTTTGTTATATATAATGCGCTGGCAATGTTCAGCTCGACAACCTCCATAATGATATACTTGTCTATCTTAATTTCACCCTTTGTAGAAGATGATTTTCAACGTTCATTAACGACAAAGTTGGTGTTTGGACTAAGTTCAGTCTTAGCTTCACTTGGTTGCATGGTCGTGACATTTAGTGCAACCGTCTTCTCGGTCTACAACAAGGAAAATCAGTGGCCCTTGCAAGGACTTGTTTTTGGTATTGCTTTGCTTACAAGCATTATATATACAATGATATATTATAAGTTATGGAATACCAGAGTCTTCTCGACTGGCTGGCCGGCTTAGCTCACGTTTCAACCAGACAGCGACAGGTACGGGCTTTACTAATAAAAAGGAGCTACAGGCTACTGTATTAGTTTTCTTATTTCATTCTTTTCTTTTCTTTTTTTTCTTTTTTTTACGAATAAAGTTTGTAATGCTTTCTAGTTCAAAACAAGTGGAAAAGGTTTCTTTTCTTATTTCCAAGGACAGATTCTGCTGGAAGTGTGTAACAAGTATTTGAATAATGACAAGTATGTTATTATGAGTGATTTGTACGTCTTTAGCTTGATATTAAAAATACCATTATAAAAGGAATTTGACCCACATATTTACCCGTGTTCCTGAAGACAATCCTGATATGTGACTATGTTGTTCCTCTAGTTGCCAAAATACAGATGTCCAATCACATATAAAATTACAGTATAATCTTCCTCTATCGTTGCTCTATATTTGTTGATCCACACATTTTTTGGGGCATCCATTTGTCTCTTGCTTCTTTTTATTAAAGATTTACAGCAACAAGCGTTATAGATAAAAAACTAACACTTCACTTTTTCTTTTTCTATTTTTTTTTTTCAATTGAGAAATATAGCTAATTATATATGTTTGATCAATTAAATATGCATCTTTGTTTAATTGTAATTTTGTTTTCCAGTTACCCCGTTTGACAACCATTATTTGTATAAAACAAAGATTTGAATAGTGATTTTTGGGAAAATATATTGCTAAAAGTAAGGAAAAAATTTGGATTTACGTGCAAAATATATTGTTGTACGAATGTGTAATTGAAAATTAATATGTACAAAAATTAAAAATTAAAAAAAAAAAGTATTCAAATAATGGTTGTCAAAAATCTTGCATACCTATAAGTAAAATATGCTTGCTACTCCATAATGTAAAGTCGGTTTGAATCCTATTCAATTAAAATCGAGCGGCAGTGAAGGATCCGATGCTGAAATTTGCATTTTGGACATTGGCCTGCTAATGTTAGTCATTCAACAGCTCCATTAGTGATACAACGCGAAACAAAAAATTTAAGCGAAAGCCTTAAAAACACAGTTTTTGAAATCCGCCAAATTTTGAAAAAAATAAACTGACGAAATAATGTGGAACGAATATTAAAATTTACATTTTCCTTGCTCGTTGCTTTTCTGACGTATTTTGCTCCATTTTTATGTTTAGCAGCTGAACTGTGGGTTGCTTATCGCGGTCAGTTCATGAAATCAATTACCAGTACCAGACTTGGGCAAATTAATTGAGCGCGAGTCATATAACATTTGTTACATGGAAGTGGAATTAACGGATGGACGGAGGTGTTATTCGATCTAAATTTGGACGAGCTCAGAACGAACTAACGAGCAAGTGCGAGTTTGCATGCCTGGTTCAGTAATAATATAGGGGTATTTAGTGCAAATGATGTTAATTTAGCGAAGATTTCACATTTCTAAATACATATATGGTTCACCTCAAATGAGGAGACAAACTGTGAGAGGCTCTGGGATCAGAATCTAACTTTACCAGACTCTGAATTTACAAAACTAATTCAAGATACGAGAATATTCAAGATGCTGCAAAAACTCAGAATGTTGAATTTCGGACTCCGCTTACACGCTTATATCTTGATCTTATATGGAAAGTCTGTTAAACAATCCAAAGAAAAGAATGAAGCTTCTTCAATTGTACCCTTAATCTTTTGTCCGTGTTTGGTTTAAATAAAAATTTTTGGGTTTGTTTTGTCAATTGAATGTCAATTTTTTCGAAATTTTTGGGTTTGTTTTGTCCACTTTAATTTTGCTTAGATGTTTAGATTTTGGAAGGATATATCGTACACAACAAATGATGCCACAAGCCCGTCAGTTGGTAAAGGAGCTGTGGGAACATAGTTTGACATTGCCGGACTCCAACGTCATAAAACTAATTCAAAAAAGTCAGATACTTCATGATGCTGCAAAATTAGGGAATGTTGAGTTTCTTACTCTGCTTACTGACTCATATCCTGATCTTTTTTGGGAAGTCAACAAAGAGTATCACTCCATATTTCATGTTGCTCTTATTAACCGACAAGAGAAAGTGTTCAATCTCATCTACCAGAGAGGAGCTGTTAAGGATTTAATTGCACTCTATAAGGATGATGAAGGAAACAACATTTTGCACTTGGCTGGGAAATTAGCACCTCCAAGCAGACTCAAAATTGTATCTTTAGCTGCTTTTCAAATGCAGAGAGAGCTACGATGGTTTGAGGTGAGAAATTAACATGGTAGTGAAATTGAATAATTTCTTATTTATCTTGAATTTATTTGTGGACCATGTTCTTTGGCATCTCCAATCAAATATTCTAAGTAATACTTATTCACCGTGTGAGAGTTAGATTTTGAAGGATTTTGCAATATGCAATAATTTGAGTAAGATTTTCAGGAGGTGAAAAAGATTGTACCATCTTCATTCCTCCATATGAAAAACAAAGCCGGGTTAACACCAAGGGAGTTATTTTCAAAGGAGCACGAGGCTTTAAGGAAAGAAGGTGAGAAGTGGATGAAAAGTACAGTATCTTTTTGCTTGGTCGTGGCAACTTTAATTGCCACAGTCGCGTTTGATGCAGCCGTAGCTATATCTGCTGGGAATAACCAAGAATCAGGCACTCCTATTTTATTGAAAGATAGGCAGTTCAAAGTTTTTGTTTTATATAATGCGGTGGCAATGTTCTGCTCGACAACCTCCATAACGATATACTTGTCTATCTTAATTTCACCCTTTGCAGAAGATGATTTTCTACTTTCCTTACCGAGAAAGTTGATATTTGGACTAGTTGCAGTCTTAGTTTCACTTGTTTTCATGGTCGTCACATTTAGTGCAGCCGTCTTCTCGGTCTACAATGAGGAAAATCAGGGGCAAGGACTTGTTGCTTATCTTGCTTTGTTTCCAATCATTGTATATACAATGACAAGTTATACGTTCTGGAAGACCATAGTCTAGCTGGCCGGCTTCGCTCACGTTTCAACCAGACAGGTACGGGCTTTACTAATAAAAAGGAGCTACAGGCTACTGTATTAGTTTTCTTATTTCTTCTTCTTTTTTTTTTTTTTTTTTTTTTTTTTTTACGAATAAAGTTTGTGTTCAAAACAAGTGGAAAAGGTTTCTTTTCTTATTTCCAAGGACAGATTCTGCTGGAAGTGTGTAACAAGTATTTGAATAATGACAAGTATGTTATTACGAGTGATTTGTACGTCTTTAGGTTGATATTAAAAATACCATTATAAAAGGAATTTGACCCACATATTTACCTGTTTTCCTGAAGACAATCCTGATATGTGACTATGTCGTTCCTCTAGTTGCCAAAATACAGATGTCCAATCACATATAAAATTACAGTATAATCTTCCTCTATCGTTGCTCTATATTTGTTGATCCACACATTTTTTGGGGCATCCATTTCTCTCTTGCTTCTTTTTATTAAAGATTTACAGCAACAAGCGTTATAGATAAAAAACTAACACTTCACTTTTTCTTTTTCTATTTTTTTTTTTTTCAATTGAGAAATATAGCTAATTATATATGTTTGATCAATTAAATATGCATCTTTGTTTAATTGTAATTTTGTTTTTCAGTTACCCCGTTTGACAACCATTATTTGTATAAAACAAAGATTTGATAAGTGATTTTTGGGAAAATATATTGTTAAAATTAAGGAAAAAATTTGGGTTTACGTGCAAAATATATTATTGTATGAATGTGTGATTGAACATGAGTATGTAGAAAAATAAAAATAAAAGTATTCAAATAATGGTTGTCAAAAATCTTGCATACCTATAAGTAAAATATGCTTGCTACTCCATAATATAAAGTCGGTTTGAATCCTATTCAATTAAAATCGAGCGGCAATGAACGATCCGATGCTGAAATTTGCATTTTGGACGCTGGCCTGCTAATGTTAGTCATTCAACAGCTCCATTAGTGATACAATGCGAAACAAAAAATTTAAGCGAAAACCTTAAAAACACAGTTTTTAAAATCCGCCAAATTATGAAAAAAATAAACTCAGGAAATAATGTGGAACGAATATTAAAATTTACATTTTCCTTGCTCCTTGTTTTTCTGACGTATTTTGCTCCATTTTTATCTTTAGCAGCTGAACGGTGGGTTGCTTATCGCGGTCAGTTTACGAAATCAATTACCAGTACCAGACTTGAGCAAATTAATTGAGCGCGAGTTATATAACATTTGTTACTTGGAAGTGGAATTAACGGTTGGACGGAGAAAGTGTTATTCGATCTAAATTTGGACGAGCTCAGAACGAACTAACGAGCAAGTGCGAGTTTGCATGCCTGGTTCAGTAATAATATAGGGGTATTTAGTGCAAATGATGTTAATTTAACGAAGATTTCACGTTTCTAAATACATATATAGTTCACCTCAAATGAGGAGACAAGCTGTGAGAGGCTCTGGGATCAGAATCTAACTTTACCAGACTCTGAATTTACAAAACTAATTCAAGATAAGAGAATAATTCAAGATGCTGCAAAAACTCAGAATGTTGAATTTCGGACTCTGCTTACCCGCTTATATCTTGATCTTATATGGAAAGTCAAGTCGAATGGTTACTCTATTTTTCTTGTTGCTGTTAAGAACCAACAAGAATACCATATAGGAGGTGGAGAAGATTACAAAGAAAAACCTATCGAGCTATCTACTGTTAGTTAAAATTGAAATTGACAAAATAGAATTTTATGATTCATCAAGGGAGTCTCTACCTCCAAAATTTCAATACAAACAAATCATATTAGTTGAGAATCCAACTTACATATATAGCTGATCATCTCAATGGAGCTTTCCAAATAGAGTAACTTACTATGGCTAACCTTGGAAGCTAGAAATAACCAGAAAATAGCATGAGAGACAATGAGTGAAGACATCATTTTTCATTGGTCGCAGGTACAATTTACGAATAAACAAAACTGGACTTAAATATTGCTGACATTTAAAAACATTGTTTTCTCGACGATGAAGATTATATACAAAATTTACTTGACTATGTTTATTCTAATATCCTATTTGTATGATATAGGACCTGACCTCGAAACTGCAAATCTAGGCAAGGGACTAGGACCCGTACTGCTTGAAGTTGAGCCTTCAACAAATTTTGTCTTGCGACTCAAGCTATAATCCAAGGGCCCAGATCGCCTAACATTGCGATGTTTGTTGTCTGTACTCATGCTTCCATTTTCAGCATCATACTGATCTTGGCCATGAGTAAAATCTCCATGCGGCTGCTTCAATGCAGGAGAAGCATGTGCTAGTGATGTGGCAGGGGAGTGTCGGGGGGATGAACTCAATAATGCCAGTGGAGTTGAAGAATTCGAATAGTACTGACTGTATACTGAACGAAGGATGGCATAAGGTACATGAGATTCCAGTAAGCTTCTCGGTAGGTATGGCGAGAGCTCACATAATTGATCGAGGAAGATAAGCTTCGCAACCAAATGAGACCTGTGCAAATGAATAAACATAAAAACTTTTAAAAAGTACGCATGCCAGAAAATGTTATTGATTTTCCAGATGTCATTTTGTGATTGTTTTCTAACAGCACGAGTAATTTACATGCAAATGCACGAGTATGGAAATGATTCTGGATCAGTTAATAAAAGTTTCAGCCAACTAATAATAAATGACGTGTTGCTCATATATTCGGCAGTTGAAATAAGATGCAGTAGGCATAAAAAGGAGAATCATCATCTTACCAGATAATGTTAATTGCCAATAAATATAGCATTTGACTAAGATACCTTATAGTTTTCAAGCAAATATCATTGTCTTACCTATGGCTTTCATTCCAAGAATCCAAAATGATTCCGGCAGAGAACTTGATGAATAGCTGCATTGTGGACTTTATGCTAGCTTCTGCTAAGAAATGATTCTCTGTCTCAGGGTCAAAAGTTTCGGTGACATGGCCATTAGAGAGAGTGTGTTTCTGTTGATACTCTCTTTCAAGTCTGACGAATCCACTACCTGCAATCACTGAACAAATGCACCTGACAAAAGAAAATAAATTCATTATGGAAGACCGTAATCAACCAGCATATTTGAGCATATTTTAAGTGTCAAAATGTCATTACAGACTATATCTGATATATAAACTGTCCAAGGACTAACAACCACATGAATCCTAGACCAGTACTTATGACTTGAAAAGAACTAAGATGATTATAGTAAACGTGTCGTCTTCTTTTTCCATAATATGAAAATCGAAACAATGATGATAGGTCAGTAAAATAACTAGAGAAGATGATGCTCCTGTTTGAGTGAGACCGTAAAAAGAGAGAGACTTAATTTATATGTAATAGTGGAAAGCTTTATCACATATTTCAACACTAATGAAGATAAATAATTAATCAAAAAGAAAGTCCAAATTTTCCACAGAAGCTGGCTCAATATATTTGATCTTAGGCTTATTTTCCTCTGCAATATTATTGTTTGGGTAGACTGGACAACTGCCGATATCTATTAATATCTCTTCTTAAAATATTATTGTTAAATATATATCTGTCTACATCGTAATCTATTGGATCGGGCATTATTTAGATGTGAAACTTGCAGACCTCATTGGTTGTGATATTGCTCTTACGGGGGGAACGAAATCTAAGAATATATAGACTTGTAGAGACCCTCTATGTAGTTGTCTATCTAGGGCGATCGATCTACATCTTTCACCATAGCCCTGGGGCTGTGTCTCGATCTCCTATGTGCGAAATCTAAGAGACTAGTTCCTATAGAGATTCCCCTTGGTCTAATTCCACGCCTTATGACGAAAGTGGAGTCGGCGTGGCGTAAAGTGAAGATTGGGGGAGTAGAGAAAATTCCCTTCTGGGGTATTCCGAAGGTGTAACCTAGGCAACGAAAAAGGGGCCCGATACTTCAACTAGAGGAGCGACCAGTTGGTTCACCAAACTCCGACCCAGCGTCACGCGTTCTCCAGGTCCGAAGGGATCCAGTGCCCAACTACCGACTCCTCCCGGAATTGCGTTATCGGAGCCGAGCCAGGAATGGCCGTTAGTGGACACCCACCACTTTTCACGGTTAGAGAGGCCCTCTTTAATACATTAAGAAAAGATGTTCACAGGGGCCAGAAAGACTCGGTCATAGGAATTTAGACCACCTACGTGCTGGTAAACGAAAACCACCTCGACCGGATCAGAGTAAACAACAATGTCGAATCAGGCCGCCCCTTGCCTTGAAAGAATTCACACGCGGCCGCCAGCTTTCCCAAAATAAGGGGAGATCTGCTGCTTACTGCTCACGAAAACATCCGACCTATACTATAGTCAAGTCGTTCGCGTATCTTTCTGATCTCCTTTCCTTCTATTCATCATATTTTTGGCTTTGACCAATTCAAGGTGAAAAATGGGGTTGATGGTGGTTAGCTAAAAAGGGGGGAGAGAGGAGAGCCTTGGGGTACGCTCACTTCTTCATTTTTGTTTAGGTTCTCGAGATTCTCAATCGCTCTTTTTAGTGGGGAGGAATAGTACATGAANGGGTCAGGTCCATGCTGATGTGTTGCTCGGCTAGATGAACAATAGCAGTATGTCTGCGAATAAGTGATTCTAGCAAAGAAGGCCGTTGAAGATCATTATCAGTTTTCAGAACAGTGAGCAACCTCCTCTTGAAGTTCCCAAGGATACAGTCCCTCATGTACTACATCACAGTAAACAAGAGTTTAGTTAGGGGTGCCCAAAAGTCCCAAACCGAACCCGAACCGAACGGTTTTTCACAAGTTAAATACCCGAACGGGTACCCGAATCGAGAACCGATGGGTTTGGGTTGGGTCTCGAGTCTAAACCAAGAACCGAGAAAGAACCGAAACTAAATAATTTTTTTTTTTATATTGAATTAATTAAATTATTTTATTTTTTTTAAAACAAATTAACAAATTAATTAAATAAATCAAATTATTTCATTTTTTTTTTTTATTAGACGGCTAGTTATTTATATGTTTTTGAATTGGGCTACGTTAATTTGTAAAAGTTACAAATGAAATGTCATTAGTTGTATATATGTAGTGTTGCTGTAAATATTAAACAATTTAATTATGGTACAGAACCGAACCGAACCGAACCCGAACGGTTCCATAATTATATTTGGACCCAACGGTTCCATTTATTAAATACCCGAAAGTTTTGGGTCGGTTCAGTTCACTTCAGAATCGAACCGACCCACAGACAGCCCTAAGTTTAGTGGAATATCAATAGTTCGCCACTAGCTAGCACTGGTAAAGATTGCCTTGTGAACATTAAGATCAGCCTTCACATGACAATAAGAAATATGTTCCCATGCGATTAAATACACTGTTCGTCAGGTTTTTTTATAATTTATTATTCTTAACTCTTTTATCCACATTCCATAAACGGTGTGGAGAGATGACACTGTTCATCAGGTTTTTTTATAATTTATTATTCTTAACTCTTTTATCCACATTCCATAAATGGTGTGGAGAGATGACAGTCATTTACCTCCCTTAGTACAAAGACATGGTTAAGAACACAGATAGGTTCCATGTCATTCATGATTGAACAAAGATTTGTCAACCTCTGCATTGCAGCTTCTAGCCTGTCATCAAATTAGACAACCAGATTAATATTCGTACATTGAGAAACTTGAATTCCAAGTATTTGTATTCTACAATGCAAAACCAAATTGCATAATTAGCTGAGAATGACTTACATTTTGATAGAATTATCATTTTCAGGATAGCTCTCATAGCCTGGTAATTGAAAACCATATGCCACTTTTGGGGATTTTGCTGAAGGAACAGATATTCTTGATGTCAAATTCATGAGATTTGCTGCTTGTTCAGGGAGAAGCTGAAATTTCATAAATTAGTTAAAATAGTATATGATAGACTTGACTAGATCCTAGTCTCAATAGAATGAGAAAGAATACCGACCTGCGTCTCTAGAGAGCCAAATCCTCCTTCCGAGTCAAGAATATTAATTAAACCTTCCAGTCCTCCCATGATGGATTCAACCAGGGATTCAACATATAGAACTGCATCGCGACCAATTTTAGTCACCTGTGTCATAGAGAAGTAGAAGTTATTTCATAGGCCAATAGACCATGGTGTTATTGCAGGTAAAATGATGAAGATAATGTCCAATAAATTACTGATCTATGGTTGAAGAAATTTCACTGCAGGTGATCTTATGACTGAGAAGCTGGTGAAAATGAAAGGTATTGTCGCTTACAGGACTTCATTAAAAGGCAGGAAGAAAAAGGTTGTTTAATGAAACCTGTATAATAATAGGAAGTCTGAAAAGTAAATGGGAGCATTTGTTTCTGATTTAGGGATGAAATAATCAAGGGGGAAGACAGTTGTGAATGAAACAATCGTGACAAAGGTAACATGTTCAGTAATCGAGTTTCCAGTTCTCTTGCCAAGGATGAAGAAGTATCAAAATTTAAGGAATAAAGTGTATCCTAATCAAACAGAATTCTCTCAGAAGTTCATTTTTCTTCCCATTTTCATCCTATTGTATAGGTTCTCTAGGGAATGCTAGAATGCAAAATATTTCCAGTGTAAAATATTCAGTTATGAAGAACATCAATACATGGTTTACAGACCATGGTATGAGCATTTGCAAGTGACTCAGGTTTATGGGCCAGGTGGGAGCATTTGAGTAAATAGTTTTAAAGCAATCATCAATTACCTCTTCAGGAACAACTGATGAAGCACATTCAGGAAAACTGCTAGCAACACCAAGCCATGCACAACAATGTTGGGGACGACCTTCAGGCCCAAACATGGTGTTCCGAAAAACCTATATGATCATTTCAAATTAGAGTCAAAGAACATATGTGATAACTGAAGATTATGTCGTCCTAACTTACAGTTGTAAGCTGCTGGTGATAGAAGTAAAGTTTCTTCAGACTCCCATATTTTGACAACTGATTTTCAAGTTCATCTACACATCTGTCTCAATACAAAACTCATTAGCTACAGTGATGAACAAAGTCTAGCCCATTTGAGAATAACTTTTGGAACCCAAATCTTCAGAAAATTGCTGAGACAGCAAAGAAAAATTGTGACACAACTATTATAATTAGCAGAGATGATTAAGATTAGTAATGCATGATAATCAGTAAATACATCCGTCGAAGTAAGGCATAAATTAAAACTTCTCTAGGTTTCTGATTGTAAAGAATGAAAGGTTATTTATCCAATGCGACAGTTAGCCAACAAATTTCTATAAACTGCCAAAAATTGGGAGATCAATCCCGTGATTCAAAATGTCATCTCCATAGTAATAAGGATGGATGCCATCAGAAACATGTTAAACTATCAATAACATGTCTACTAGCTAAGTGTAGTTGACAGGTGCACACAGAATCATATAATAACTGACAAGGTTCAATACTGGAATTTCACAAACAAGATTTTGCAATCATTGGATCCATCTTGATCTTAAGATTAAGAACAAGCACCCGTTTCTATAAACAATTGCACATCCATAATAAACTCGGAAAACAAAGTCAATAAAGAAATTATGAGTAAAGTCATGAGAAGATAACAGAACAAGAAATTTAAGCCTTGTCACAGTAAGAAAGAATACCTGGACCAGTTGTATGCAGCATTTCCTTCTGATAGTAAGCCTTCTTTTCCAGTAGATACTGTAGCCTTTTCCAAATGTCTAATGTTAATAGATGACCGAGAAGAAGTCACGATCATCAACACTGATAACCAATCCTTCCGTAACTCCTGAATGTTAAAAACATGATTCACAGTTGGAAAATTTGATGATAAACACCCAACAGCAGAAAAACTGCAAAAAGGGGAACGGGGGTGGTTGGGGTGGGGGAGGAGAAATTACATCAAGATTTTTCTCAAAACGCAACAAAAATAACATGCCATTTAATACGTTAAGCAGCATGTTGGAAGGTCAATTAAAGTTGAAAATATACTACTCAGTATGTCCAGCATGCAGACAATAACAAAGGAAAAAACCTTCAAAATTTTACAATCAACTTGAGGGAATACCAATGGGGCTAGCAAAAATAGAGGAATACAACTACGGGCACCAACATAGAAAATTACATATTATATCATTAGACTCCAACAAGTTTCCCTTACAGTATTGTGTATTACCTCTACATTATGATCCAAACGTCATTTTGAGAAAAAGGCCCAAGTTTGCCAAGAAGCAATAAAAAACAGCAAAAATATAACAAACACAGAAATGAATTTGACTGCGCGTGATAACTTCATGTTGCTTTATCTATAAGCCCCCATTTGAGCCCCATTTTTTCTCATTCCATTACATTATTTTTTCTCTCTCTTCATCTCAACCACACATTCTCAAATAAAATAATATTACACACAAATTTAAAACTTTTCAACCACACATTTTTCCATCAATCACTATTCTACAAATTTTCAACCCCAAAAAATGGGGGCCAAACAGGGCCTAAATTAATGACAGTTCATGCAGTTTCACATTATTGTGATATAATATTCAGGAGACATTCTAACATACTAGACAATTTATTCCATCTCATTTATTTTGACATGCATATTGAATAATTTTGGCAAATATATGATTTCTTCATTAGCCGTGTAAAACACAAGTTAAGCTTCAGTCTAGTTGTCTGGATTCAGATAAGAACATTCCACGTAACAATGCATGGAAAAGGAAACTAAAACAAGTGACCATCTGATAAATTCTTACAGATAAATCACATGTGATGACAGAAATATTTTCACCCTGAGGCTTTGGTATATTTTCTAGATGATGAACAATTCTCTGGAAAATCCCTTTCAAGGTTGCATCCAGGTCAAGAGCTACCATTCCTGGTGTGCCCAGAAGAAAGCGTATTCTACCAGCACATGACGATAGGTATGATAAAGCATAGCCTCTAATTGCTGAGGAGAAAATGGAAATATTTGCTGATTAGTGTAACACAAAAACTGAAAAATGAACAACACAATTCAACATATGTTCATTTTGTTGTATTGAGAAACATATTAAGTTCACAACATCCTCTATGGGAACTAATACTGAGCAGTATACCATGGCACACCCCCTATAGAAACTTCAGTGAAATTTGTCATCAATTGAACAATTCATTCATTCATTTATTACAAGATTTAGCATAATGAATTAACAATTCAATAGTTAGTGGACCTGTCAAGTGTCAATGAATGATTCAGGAAACCAACAAGTAACGAGCGTTAATTAAATTAAAACAAGAAAAAGGAAAAGTTAATATGGACAGTAAATCAA